CAAAAATCTTAAATTATGTCCAACATGTATGCATTTTATGAGTCCAAATGAACCCTGAATTTCTACCACTTATTCACAGATTCAAAGTTCACGAGTCAGCAGCACAAAATTGATGGTAGCTAAGTACACAGTAATTAAAACACAAACAAAATGCCAAAACTGAACCTTAAAGCTAAAAAGGTTAAACTACTATTTGACAGGACAAACTCAAAACTAATTAATAAAATGGATAAAAAATTAAACAAAAATAATTGCTATCATACCGAATCAGATGTTGACTCCTGCTTTGGGATAATGAGTGTAGTGATATGGAAAACCCTCTTTTTCTACAGCCATATAAAAGCAAAATATAAGAAACAGCGTCAGCACTTCTGGATGTTACCACTTACCCACAAAAAAGCAAGCAGTATATCTGTTCCCAGTAAAAAGCTTAGTTCTCTTACCAGCGAACCAGCAAGAATGCCACAGGTTTCTAAATTTTTTTCTGTATTTGCCCGAGCCAATCTCAAGAAATCTTGCATCAATTTTACTGGCTGCAGGTAAAGTCAAAAGAATAAGCATCAGTCGAAATCAAGTGCTATAAGTATCATAACCACGATTTGATAACAGAATACCACCAGAATTTAAAAAAAAAAAAAAAAGAAAAAAAAAAAAAAGCCACAATAACATATATATCAGCACAGAGAGACCTACAATGTGTAAATGTTGATAAGAACTAGAGTTCAGTGTTCCATCCTGAGAAGGCTTGGCTGGACCAGGTCTTGGATCAGCAACTTTAGCTGGAGAGATTGGAGCAAATTCCTGCTGCACTTGAGCAAGAACAGGAGGAGGAGAAGGTTGCTTGATACTGACAAACTGAAAAGGATCTTCCCTTGCTTCATTAACCATTGGAGGACACGAATCCTCCGCAGGTTTTAACCATCTACCATCATCTAAGGAAAGAACGGACTCCATAGTAGGTACAGCCCCTCCAGAATCACCAACTTTTGATGGAACCATATCATAAGGACCAGCCTGATTCAGGCTACAATGGTTGGTAAAACCAAACAAAAAGAGTTAAGGAAGCCACACTTTATTGAAAGAAACTTAACAAGAAGTATATTGGAGAGCATGTAAACTTTCAAATGATAAAAGATAAAATAAAAGAATCCTATCAAAAAAATAAGCCAAGTAAAATAAGCATATTTGAATATTTAAACAAAAACAAGTAAAAGTTTTACCTTGTATCTTCATTTGGGGATAGGTCAGTGCTGCTTGGATATTGAACCTGTATTACACAACAACATTTCATGTCGTTTTACAGTTCAGTGAACCAAAGCAAATATAACATCATCAGTTATGAAAATTCTAGAAAATATTACCTTTGTCCCTGCACTAGGACCAAGCCATTGTCCTCGAAGACCATTTGGACCTAAGAATGAGTGTCTAGACAAAGTTTCTTTGTTTGGAAGAGGCAGGTTAACAGATCTGCACATATCCAGGAGAATCATTCTATGTATGTAGACCTTATCGAAATTGCCACACTAAATTTTATCTTATAGACATAATCTAATAAAAATAAGTAGTCTAACTTCCAAACATATAGCCAAATCCAGTCGAACCATAGATAAAAGAAAGAATATAAGTTCAAGAAACAAAAGAAGGAAAAGAGCTCCACATAACAGCACCACAAAAAAGCATAACAGTTCCTTCTTTACAACTATATAACAAGAAAACCTTCATGAAGCAAAACAACTGACTAATACGGACTGCAGATCTTGCCCTAAACTGTAACTCAACTGCTACTGCCTACTAACTAAAAAGCAGAATATCTCCTCTACACTTCCCCATGCTTCTAAATGATGATTCTACTATCCAAAAAAGAAAACAGTACTTACAGTCTATGGAACTGCTTGTCAAGTTGCACAAAACTCGATGATGAAACTTGGGTGCGATCATTATTATTCCTCAATGAAGACTGAATTGCCATGCTGGAAGGCTGCAGCCAAATGAAAAATAATATAAATAACCAACAAACAGAAAATCCTAAATTAAATTGTGAATAAGCAGAAGAAAAATTATTATATGGAGCTGAATCAACAGTATGATTTAGGAGCAATTAAAAGGAGGAAAAAGGGAAAGGGAAAACCACAGAGAACAACAACTGAAAGAAACATCTTCAGCACATAATTAACATACAATTCAATGAAGATAACATCAATAAATTAACACTGCTACTATCGTTTCACAGTTTTGCGAATAATATATCAAACACGCTAATGCTTAAGTTCTGTACCCGCTTTGTATCCATGCTAGAATGAGAGGTTTTATCGACAATAGGCCATTCCAAAGAAGACGTTTCTGCACCATATGAAGTCCTGTCTGCGCTATCAAGTTCAACCAGTTGAGCTGTTCCATGGGCCCTATTAAGTTCATTGACTCGATGCTGGAACTCTGGCTTCAAAGACTCAAGTTCATCGAGCACAGAAATCAATCTCTGGAACAAACAACCATAAATACCAATCACACAATGTTACTCATATACTAACGCATTACACATACTCAAGGTCACATAGAGTAACTAAATGAACTAATAAACCTCAGGCTCACCTTCTTGTAAGTAGCTCTTTCTTTTGGAAGTATCGCCTGGTAGTCCCGATGAAATGGTATTGTTTCTGACACCAAACTGCAAGTTTAAAAAAAAAAAAAAAAAAAAATTGATGATAGGCCTATGCTTCTGATTTTCTTAAGAGAGAATTCAAAAACATCGAAAATAATTATCAAATTACTAAATTATGTTGCTGTCTCTACCTTGAATATCTTAGTAGTATTATATACAAATCTACAATATTCTTCTCCTCCCGATAAATACTAGCCTGGACAAAACAAAAACTTTCACTAAATATGATCGAAAATTAAAACAAAACACGACAATGTTAATAATATTTTTATAAAAAAAATTAATAACAATGCATATAATTGAAGGAATCAAGTAAATAACGCCAATTCATAACTTAATCGTGAAGATAATCAGAGAACTTAAAAGAACGGAACCTGTTTGAGGAGATTATCGGCGATTCGATAGTAATATCGGAGAGGAATTCGATTATCGACTTCGACTCTCCTAGTGATAGAATTGACGTTGATCCTCATTTTGTTAATCGTTTGCGGCGACTATTGCCCGCTCTATAAAACTCCGATCGGCTTCTCAGGCGACACGCCACGAATCCTCTCGCTGTTCGTGATCGGAATCTAGAATCAAAAGGTTCAACGTGCGAGTTAAGGAATGTGAAAACTCAGTCGTTTTGAAGGATGGAGGTCGTTTTTACCTTTTCTGTCGACATAGTGAGGTGCAAAGAAATTTTGGTTCGACACGGTTATTGATATTTGACACTCAATTTCTGCGTATGTTCTAGTGATTTCTTGCCAAACATAAGGGCAATTTGGTCAATCTCTAATGTAATCATAGCACTTGCCACTTTAATTTAGGAGGTAATATTAAAATGAATGCATGTCAAAGTTAAATTAATATTTGTGTATTTAATCAGGACATTATTCTATTTTTCTCAAATTTATTTTTTAATATTGCAATTCTAAAATAGTTGTTAACATCGAGAACTTAGTCATTGTTTTAAAAACCGGATCGGAGAGCAACTCGCTCTAATGGTCGGTCACGGTTCAATCGGTGACATCATCACACATCATGTTGATGTCAGCATATTTTAAAAAAACCGTCAAACTTAATAAAGGATATGTTATTGTTATTATAAGGGTGTCTTTGGTGTTAACTTAAATGTAAAGGGATTCATTTGTAAGAATTTCAAAACAAATGAAGAACCAACCTTTCTCTCTCTCACACTCACACCCAACACTGCAACTCTTAGAATTTTTGTTCGCATTTGAATTTTGTAAAACACTAAAAACAAAATACAACAAGATAACATTTGTGTTATGTGTATGTATGGCTTGGTAGAATGAATGTTAATCCAAATGAAAAGGGGAAATTAGTTAAAAAAACTGAGTGGTTCATTCATTTGAATGGCTGTCATTGATTCACATAAATGCATTTGAATGGTGCATTAAATTAAAATGAGCAGTCTAATTATCCAATTCAGTGAACAAATTATCCATCAAAGCATGAAAGCAATAGATTCATAAAAAAAAAAAAAAAAGAGAGTGGAAATATCTTTACAAAAGAGAGTGTTGTTGTCGTCGATTCCAGCGAAGGAGGGAGGCATCGTCGTTTGTCGTCGTCGTGCAAGGGAGAAGGGAGGGCATCATCACCGAAATCCAACGAGTGAGATGCTGCCTTCGTTAAGCAAGGGAGAAGGGAGGTGCATCACTGTCGAAATCCAACGAGGGAGGTGCTGCCGTCGTCGAGCAAGGGAGAAGGGAGGTGCGTCGTCATCGAAATCCAGCAAGGGAGGTCTTGCCATCATCAAGCAAGGGAGAAGGGGAGTGCGTTATCATCGAAATCCAGCGAAGAAGATGAGAAGGGGCTGTGATGCTGCGTGACAGAGAAGAAGAGAAGAAAGGATGCGACGAATCGACGATGCGTGACAGAGAACTGAGAAGAAGAGAAGAATGGGCTGCGTGAGAGAAGATGATGGGCGCGTATTAGGGACTAAAAGTGTGGACCGGTTTTTTCACCTGTCCGGTTGGACCGGCGGTTCACTTATATTATTCGGTTTTCAATCGGTTTAAAACGGCTTAATTCTTATTAACGGGTTTGAGGGTAAACCGAACTAGACACGTGACTGGTTCACGGTCCAACCGGTTGGACCGGCCGGTCTGGTCCGGCTTTTAAAACAGTGGTTGAGATGCACGCAAGCTGGTCTTAATACTCCGATTATATATATATTCAAAATTTAAGTCTTTTAATTTCGAAAAATAAAAATCAATTGTGAGAATTGGGAAAACACTTCATAATTTGATAGCTACTGTTTCACTAATAACAAAATGTGTAGCAGATACACAGAAAAGTAATACTGCAAATTTTACATTTAAGATCAAAGCTTGGATGCATGCCAAAAAGTACACAAAATTACAAGAGCATTTGCAAGTCATTTCTTTGATTTGCTAGGCAAGCCATAATGGGAAACTAGCAGAGTGGCATAGAGAAGCTGATTCCAGGAATCTGGAACACCGGGAAGGCACCAGTGGCTACAGTCCTGGATCATTCCAGGGCTTCTTGGGATCTCCATTTGCCTGTAGATTGAAGGATGTCCATCTTGTCGGTAGTCTGACATCTTTGTAATGTTGAGATAAAACACTGGTGTTTTCATTTCAGCTATTACTGATTCAAGGATTTTCATCATCCATGGATAGTGAACCATGTAGTTCTCATTAGTTATGGGTTGTGCCTCAGCATCACAGCGCCCACCTGTGTTCCATTGCCCTTTCCTGTAAAATGTAATGCAACAATCAACAGAAGTTCTGAATAAGCTTTAATTTGTTACTCATGGATAGATAATTACCTGAAGTGAGGAGCTGAGTAACCGCGAAAGAAGACCCTGGTACGGTTACTGTCAACATTTGCATCAACCCATTGAGCCCAAGTTTTCAAGGCTTTTGTGTATGCTTCTGTAACTTCAAGTCTGTTATAGACATGGCTGCCTTCCTGGAAGTAATTAATGCTGAAATGAAGCAAGAAGTAGAAGATCAGTGTAATATTAGTGAAGTCCGCAAACGTTAAAGGTGAAAAGAGAATTATATTTTTACCCTTTGAAGGTTTTGTGGTGAGTCCACCAGTGGTCAGTGTTGAAGATGATTATATCAGCATCATAATACTTGGAGGAAGGGCCTTGAATCATGTCAAGCCTTAGAGTGTCTCTTCGTTTTCCAATCCTATCTGAGATCTTCGATTCTTGAACAAGAAATGGTGATTTGATGAAGTCTATGGAGCAGTTGTAATCCTACACCACCACAGAAACATAAACCATAAATTGCTTCTGCTAAAATTCTTTCATAAGGATGACATATTGGATGAACAAAATCAGCAAAATGGTAACAGGATTAAAGATTTACTCTGAATATGAAAGAATAGAAACCCTGAGTCCTGAACTGTCGCCTACCCGAAACCTCATAGAGTGTGCTTTTATCTTTCAACGATTCTCTCAATGCACAGACCAAAGACTCCCACATGTTCCTATTCAAAGAGTCACCAACAAACACCAATCTCTTCCCTCTCAGCATCCGCAACATTTTTCTCCCATCAAACCTATACGCAACCCAAGAAATAGTACAAAATGAAGAGGAGAATGAACCATATATTATATAATCCTTGAACAAAGTTGTGATGCCAAACCTTGGAATGTGACACCCACGTGGCTTCCATTTATATCTGAGGTAATAAGAATCGGGTCTTCCATTCTTGAAGCAATTGAAAGCGTCGTCGATATAAGGGCAAGACCCTGGTTGGTAAAGAGGTTCAAAATCATCAACCACCCAGTTACCATTAAAGATATCACAAGAACTCAGGTTTTCTATCAGGTTATAACTTTCTTGATCATTTCTTGAACTCTTATGAGGTCTTTCGATTACAGTGACTGAAGAGATCGTGCAGTTGCTCTCACAGTCCAAGACAAGGCATGTGTTTGAGGAAGAAATTGAAGAGAAGGGAGAGATGTAGTTTGCAACAACACGAATGCGGGAAGCAATAACTGAGACTAGAATGGCCGGTGAGTGATTGGTCCGTGATGCTGAAAGGAGGAGAATTGAGAGAAGGAGAAGTGAAATGAGTAGAATGTGGGATCCTGGATTTGAGAGAGGACATGATGATGATGATGATAGTGTTCTTGAGAACTGCCCTAGAGTGGACAAGAAGTTCTTGAAAGATGCCATAGAAAGCAAAGAGGGAAACGAATTAGGGAAGAAATAAGTTGTGAAGAGCAAGATTTTTTGGAGGGAATGGTCCCTCTGATTTATGAGAAACCGTTATTGGGGTTATCTATTTCGGTGGAACTCGCGACTCTGCAATTTGATTTTAGTTTGGCTTCCGAAATCAATCTATAACCAGTTTTCTTTCTTTAAAATTTATTTTTTATAGTTTAAATTCATCACTCATAACAATTAATCAGGCCCCATTTCTCACCAATGCAAAGAGAGATCACACATAGGAACCAAGGATGTTAACAGCATCGTATATGTATATTTATAGCTCACATATTCTGTTAGTATTTATACCAATCTTTCACAATAAATACATAAAATTTTCTTGAGTTTCTGCGGCAGTCGTAAAACACATAACATGAGCAAGACTCATTCATCCCATTAGTTATCTATTTCAATCCACATATCATCTATCAAAGCAATAAGCCACGAGCTATGATCATCACTCCGAGACCAAACAGAATCTTGTAGGGAGTCTTGTATGCACTGTTTTCTTCAGCTTGAATATGCTCAGCTACATTGAAGTCACCTACACAACACAAGCACCAGCTTATGATATTTGGCAATAATTGAAAGGAAAATAATATTATCTGAAGAAGCTAGTAATAAGTAAGCTACCTCTTTCGGGGCCATAGCCGCAACCCGCCTTGATGGTGTCTTTAATATCATTTATGGTTGCCCTATTGTAGAATATGAAGTTTGCTAGGACGTCTTCTATGCAGTCAAGCACCAGGTGTGTCTCTGTAAGGCACGGCCCATTGCAGTATTCTTCGACATGTTCAGGAGACACATTGATGTTTCCACTCTGTGTCAATCTGCAGGACTCTTCGCAGTTGCTGTAAATCTAAAACTTTGTCCAAATGGAATCAACATAAAATAATTCCAGAAGGAAATGTTAGAAATTTAATATGAAGGAAGAATCATAATAAAGTTGAAGTATAATGAACATATGTAAAATGGGGTGCGTCTTTCATTTATGAGAGTTCATGTCACTTACATGTTTATCATTGAAACATAGCAAGGCTTTGGCAACAATTTCAGCTGGATCACCACCACCAGCGCCGCCTGTACCACCAATGCCACCTGTACCGCCAACGCCGCCTGTACCACCAATGCCGCCTGCACCACCACCAACGCCGCCTGCACCACCAACGCCGCCTGCACCACCACCAACACCACCTGTCCCACCAACGCCGCCTGCACCGCCACCAACACCGCCTGCACCGCCACCAACGCCGCCTGCACCGCCACCAACGCCACCGGTACCGCCAAAGCCGCCTGCACCGCCACCAGCGCCGCCTGTACCACCAAAGCCGCCTGCACCACCACCAACGCCACCTGTACCGCCAATGCCTGTTTGAGCATTTGCTTTCCCTGTCAAGAGTTGGTTCAAATAATCAGGTATTATAACCAAAAACCATAGCAACGCAAAGGCTACAACACTTCATTTCGTTTAAATACCAAAGTTGCAACAGAAGAAAGAAATGCAGACAAGAGCTATAGCTAAAAAGCAACGCTGAACGGTCACTGAGTATGCCATTATAAAAGATTAAAGGCAGTACAAACTTGTGAAAGAGAGAGGTGATCTATGGCTAATTATATAAATGCAGTTCCACAAGGCACAAAACTGTTGCATTTAATGGTTAGTTGCTAATCTTCCCAATTTTCTAATCTCATATTGACTGAAGTGAAATATTTTCAAATATTTTTTAAACAATTTGATAGACCCATCATTNGTACCGCCAATGCCTGTTTGAGCATTTGCTTTCCCTGTCAAGAGTTGGTTCAAATAATCAGGTATTATAACCAAAAACCATAGCAACGCAAAGGCTACAACACTTTATTTCTTTTAAATACCAAAGTTGCAACAGAAGAAAGAAATGCAGACAAGAGCTATAGCTAAAACGCAAGGCTGAACGGTCACTGAGTATGCCATTATAAAAGATTAAAGGCAGTACAAACTTGTGAAAGAGAGAGGTGATCTATGGCTAATTATATAAATGCAGTTCCACAAGGCACAAAACTGTTGCATTTAATGGTTAGTTGCTAATCTTCCCAATTTTCTAATCTCATATTGACTGAAGTGAAATATTTTCAAATATTTTTTAAACAATTTGATAGACCCATCTGCGATCTTGCCTGATACGTTCACTTTTCATTTCATTGTCATTGGCCGAGGAAATAAATCATTCAGATTTTTCTTGTTATTCACATTGTGCAAATACTTAACTGGAAGTTTAATTAGATGGATAAGGTAAGAATTGAATAGCAGAAGTAAGTTTGGTGGATTCAATTGGAAAATGAATAAACTTGGTGGGTTGCTTTTTTGTAGGGTATCAATTTGGAGGAATGGAGAAGACTAAGGACAGAGTAGGTGGAATGCAAGTCACCAACTATTACTTGCAAGTTTGAGGACTTTTCTATTATAGTGTTAAAAATCAAACCTAAAAAATATGTTCATTTCCAAGGTTTCTTTTCATCAGGGAGGAAAATAGTCTTTGGTTCATGGCATAAGTAATCCACGCAGAGAAGCATAGAATTGGTACATGAGGACAGTGGCAACAGTCCAAGTGAACATGTGGAGTGTTAGAGACATTTCTTAATGGAGTTAAGAAATCCCATTTCTGCACCTTCCATAAGGTTAGGTAAACCCATAATTTTAAGAAACAATGTGAAGGAAAATAAATTATATTCATTCCACAGCTTTGGTACATCTAATGAGTAGCGTCACTGAGAATGATATAGCCACCAGAAGAAAAAGAAAACAAAACTTTTGAAGAATGTGACAACTGTTTTCTTGTAATCCTAAAGAATGTATACACTATACAGAGTGAATACTGAAGTACATTTCCACTGGATGTCCCCTGTTGATTCAATTCTGCTTTGCCTTGCGAAGTTACCACTTGGCTGTGGAGAGCTCCATTAGTCATGGTACACGCTGTTGCTTTGCATAAAAAGATGATACATGTCGAAGTCTTCAAACTTGAAGAACTGATCCTAATCATCACGTCTTCCAACAGATACTTCCTCTTCTGACCAGTTAGTATGATAGTAACATTGATGTCGCATTAAGTCATACCCAAAAGGTGAGTTGTGGAAAGAAAACCTGTCTCACACCCCAAAAACACTGCAAGCTACTGATATTGTGCACCTTGCCTATGGGGCTATAGGAGCAGGTTTATTCTTACCTAATGATAAAACTACATGTCAATTTCTCATTGCTGATTCATGTCCATTGCCTGCAGTAGAGCCATGGCATAGAACCTTGAGCAGGATAAATTGAGCAATACCGACTGTTGCAAAGGCTTATCTCCAGGCAACCTGTATCCCTTGATCCAAATTAACAACTGGTACATAAATCCCACAAGGAATGAGTGCCATATTCTTCCAGAAAGCGTGAAAGAATTTTCCATGAAAAAAATTAAGTATCTTGTTATGATTATATGATTGTAAATGATGCCACAGATGCAAAAAGCATAACATCTTGATACTTTATACCCACATCAGCTTCAAAATGTAATCTCAACAAAGTGGCACTAATCTTTGAAACAATTGAGGCAGGATCCTAAAGATTGGGGGTGGATTTTAAAGAAAAACCCCGCTCATTATATCTTTTCACAATATCACAAGCATCTTCAGAGCAGCCATTGTGAATCAGAGTTTCCAAAATTAAGTTAGATGTATAAGAATCAGGAATGCAACCATTTGCTTCCATTGAAAGAAACATTTCTTTTGCTGCAACAAATCTTCCTGATTCACACAATGCCTTGATAATAGCACCATAAGTATAATTGTCAGGACTCAAACCCAGTGTCAACATGGAAATAAAAAGCTTCTCTGCTTTCTCAATCTTATTCATTCTACAAAAACTTTGGATTAGAGCATTGAAAGAGTAAATATCTGGACTTATTCCATCTGCTTGCATCTTCCTTAAAAGTCTCCATGATCTAGCGACATCCCCAATGACACACAAAGAACGGATCAAAATATTGTATGTGATAGCATTTGGAGTAACACCCCACTCGACCATTTCAGTGAAACAATTTAAAGCGTCCTCAATGTGGCGCGCTCTACAAAGCCCGTCGATAATTGAGCTAAAAGTGAAGATATCAGGTTTCAAACCACATTCTAAAAGCATCTCCAAAAGTTCACGAGCCTTAAGTACCTTTCCATCCTTGCAATGCCCACTAATCAGGGTATTGAAAGTGACGAGGTTAGGAGCAATACCTCTACCTTGCATCTCTCTAAATGTCTCTGCAGCCCTCTCCACCATATTGACTCTGCAAAAACAATCAATCACCATGTTATATGAATATACATTTGGCACAAGTCCTTCCTTGATCATATGTTCCAAATAGCAATCCCCATCCTTTCCTCTTCCTGCTTTGTATAAGGCTTCAATGAGCATGAGATACGTATTAAAACCTGGCTTCACACCTCGCTCAATAAAACTCTTAAAAATTCCACATGTCTCATCAAGATTCAATCCAGTTATCAAACAAGTCATGGTAGTGTTAAACGTCGAACTTTCAGGCAAGTAACCTCTCTCCCCAACCTTCCTCAAGAACATGGCTGCCTCTCTTGCCATAGAGTTGTTTGAAAGGCAATATAGTAGAGTATCACAGGCTAATTTTGGCATCACAGGCTCTCTTTCCATAAACATTATTAACAACTCAAACGCCTTACGAGGGGCTGAACAACGAAACACCCCATGAACCAATGATCTAACAGTAGCGTCATTGGGACTAACCTTCCTTTCCTTCATCATCTCTAAAACCCTAAAAGCTTCATCTACCCTCTTTGCATTACAAAAACCATCAATAAGAATTGTATATGTAAACACGTTAGGTGAATATCCCACTCCCTCCATCTGTTTGACTAATCGAAGAGCCTCATCCACCACACCAATTCTACAAACTCCATGAATAAGTATATTGTATGTGAACCTATCCGGTTTGCAGTTATCCACCGACATCTCTTGAAACTTCAAGTATGCTAAATCAATGGAATTGGATTTCACCAGTGCATCAATAACAGCATTATACAACCTTGTACTAGGACTAATACCCAAAAAAGAAATCTGCCCAAAAATTTCAGCACAATATTTAGATAATCCTAACCTGCCCCAACTACCAATTAGAACACAAAGCAAATCCTCACTGAGTTGAAAACCCGAGTTCTTAATATCTTTAAGCAACACAACAGATAAAATAACAGGACCTTTTCTGTAAAGTACATTAGCTAAAACACCCTTAACCAATTGATTCTTTGAAAACAAGGGGTCGATATTAGAAACCCAGATATAAAACCTCAAAGGGTGCAATGGGTTTTCTTGATTTTGCAATATACTCACTACAAATTGAGGTACCAAACTGATCCTTTTAGCCTTCAATTCGTGGTTTAGCAATAAAAACCAGTCATTTCTAGCAAGAATTTGAGAAATGTTACTGTGATCAATCGGTTGAAAGCGTTTATTAGCTGAAATGGGACTGTTTGAGTATGAAACAGAATTGGGTTTATTAAGGAAACGAGAATTCAGTAAAGAAGAAGAGGAGTTGTTACCTCTTGAAGATGCTTCAGTGTTGTTGTTGGTTTGCTTATGAACGAGAGATGGTTTCGGTTTAGCGTTTGATATTTTGTGACTAGACGATTCTTCAGAGATATGTTTTAGTGAAGGTGTTGCCCTAGAAGCTAAAGAAGAAAACCCTCTCATGTCCCCTCTCTGCAGAAGCGGTTGCAGGCCATGCTTGCTCATAGAAACGAGGTTTTTTAATATAAAACGACTTGACGTCTGAAGTAGCAAAGCGACATGTCGTTCTAAACAATTCGGTACGTATCCTTGGCTCCTTTACCTCTATTGGCCCATTTAATATTGGGCTAGGAAATTTATTAGAATCAACTTTGAAATATCCTTTTCTAACATTATAGTTAATGTCCTTTTTATTATGATTAAAATACATAAATTCTTGGTTGAATTTTGGAAATACGTGAGAGAAGATGCCTCAACAATTAAATGAACTAAAATTTAATTGAGAGTTATTAAATCGAAGAAATTTGTGATACATCAATTTGTACCCAATACTTTGTATATTTAATCATATATGTAACACCACTCATTAATCTTTTTGACCCAGTTTCAGTATACCATCCATCTCTATTTCTTTCCACCATGGAATCACAAAACTCTCCCGACCAAGCTGCAGCATTGATAGTTAGTGGCCTCGTACGCGCCAGTTATGTGATACTTTGTGCATAGATCATCCATTATAGTAGGTGCTTCTTCAAGGAGGGTTTATGCTACAATATGTAAATAGGAGGGTTTATGCTACAATATGTAAATAGGAGGGTTTACCATTTAGGTGTCCAGGTACCTGATACATGTAGGAGCATTTTTGTGATGGCGTCAGATGCACATGTATTAGCCCAACAACATATATGGGCCGCGGTTACAGCCCAATATAAAAATCAAGTGTTTATCTGTACTAATGGGGATGTGTTTACTTGGAAGAGTATGTGGAAAGTGGAAAGTGGCAAGTGAGG